TGTGAAGCTTGAGCCAAGACCAGCCATTCATATGGAGAAGGAGCTTGGGTGGGCCTGTATGTTGGGTGGGTTGGAGTCTCGGGATCTTCAAGGCATGTCTAACAGTATTGGGTTGTTGGAGTCTCAGATACGGCACCAGACTACAAGGTCTGTGGGGGGAGGGTTTAGAAAAGGAACAGTGGCCTCTGCTGGTCTTGATGGCAGACATCCCGGTTTCTCCCAGTGCCACTGGTGCTGTTCAAGCTGCCACCCCGGTGCTGGAGCTCAGAGGGAGTGAGTCTGAGTAGGTTAGTCTGTGTGTGGGTTCTTTAAGAGGAACTGCTTGGCTCCAGCAGTTTCTGCCACTGACTCAGTCCCCGCTGGTTTTTGCAGCCAGAAGTTATGGAGACTTATTTTCCTGGCACTGGTACCCTGGGCATTTTCCTGGCACTGGTGTGGTGTGGGGCTGGGACTCCTTGCCCCTGAGGTGTCCCTCCCAAGTTTTCATCCACCGCACGTGGGTGAGGGAGCAGCCCATTTCGTCTGCACCCCCCACCCGTCTGGAGGGTGGTTCAGAGTGACAGCCGCTCCGTGTTTTCGTTGTGATTGTGATGGGGCGGCGAGCTGTGTCAGCCTGCGCTGCTGTCCTGACCAGAAGTCCCCTCATAGCTCTGAAATTTTTGTGTTTTTTGTCTAGATATCTAAAATCATGCTATTTATTACTGAAATACTGGAAACAACCTAAAAAAACCTAACAGAGGAACAGTTTGTTCTAAAGAAATGTACAAGTAGAGTATAAATGCTCTGTGGCCCTTACAAGAAAGCAGTGTCCTGCAGATGTAGCGACGAGGAAGCAACACACACACACAGAGGGGAAAATACGACTTAGCCACGAAGAACAAAAAGGTTCTGCCATTTGCAGCAACATGGACAGGCCTCAAGGACATCATGTTAAGTGAAAATAAGTCACAGAAGTTTTCCATAATAACTGTGGGTAACTCATACATTTAAATAGATTCATTTTAGTTTGGAATTTGATTAATGGTTTGTAAACTGGGCCAAGAGGAAATAGGAGTTGTTAATTAGCAAGAATGGTTGAAGAACATTAAAAAACTTTTCTGACTTTCGTTAAATCGGAGAGTAGATTCCTACTAATTTAGGACAAGAAGGTCAGGCCGCAGAGATTTCAGACACTTCCTGGAAAGCTGGTTTCATTGATGAACCCAGCAGCCGTGCACCCAGAGGAGGGTCGTTCAGGTGCTGTGGGGACCTCCAGAACCTGGTTTTGTCATGGGATCTTCTCGGATGGAATGATGTTGACCGTGGAGAGGCTGCTCGTGTGAGTGGGGGTGCTGGCCTGGCAGTGCTGGGAAGGAGTCACCTGTGGGTGAGCGGGTCTCCAGGACCATCATTGGCACCAGTGGCCGAAGTAGATGGAGAGGAAAGGGCGGGGTGGAGAGGGCAGCGAGCCCTGGTGGAGGACACCTGGGCTTCTGAGGCTGTAAGTAGCAGGGGGGGTGCACAGGTCAGCTGTGGGGTGATGTCACTGTGTGCAAGCTTGCAGAGGGAGCTGGCGGTAGGGACCCTCATAGAGAGGAGGGGTTAGGCCCCTGGACGTCCTGAGACTGGAGGTGGGTGTAAATGAGAGTGAGATTCAGGCACTGGTGTGAGTGGTCCGGAGAGTCCAAGGCAGGGTGTGGAGGGAAGGCCGTGGCAGTGGTGAGCACACTTCACTGCCTCCAAAGCTGTCCACATCACCAGTCCCCGTGACAGAAAAGCTTTAGGAAGTAGGCGCCTCGGCTCTCCAACTACAGAATGACCTGTGAGATCTTTCTAGAAATGCCAGGGCCTGGGCCTCACCCCCAGTGACTGTGTAGCTGTTTGAGGAGGCCCCGGTGTTCTTGCTTTTGAATGCTCTGCTGGCGGCTCTACCCGAAGCCAGGGTCGAGAACTGGTGTGTTAGACATCTGTCCAAGGTCCTGAGCCTGTAAGTGGCAGGGACAAAACGTGAAACCTGCTGCTGCCAGCACCCCACCCACGCCCACCATCTCCCCCAGCAGCGGGCGGCCTTTCCCGACACAGCTCCGGGAGCACTGCAAGGGTGGTGCTGCTCCCGCCGGTCCGGTCCGCACAGCTCTCCTCTCCTTGGCCTCTGGGGAGTGAGGGCCCACAGTAGGCATGTCTCCGAGCCTTTACATGTGGTATTTCTTTTTTTAAATGATTCTTGTTTTTTTATTGTTCAAGTACAATTGTCTCAGCATGTGACATTCCTTGTGCTCTTTTCAGCCCCCACCCCTTCCCCGATTCTCACCCTCCAGGCTACAGTTGAGGCGGCAGCTCTCTGGAAGCTCCACCATGTAGGGTGTGCAGGCTGCAGGAGGCGTCTGTGGGCAGCTTCGTTTTTCTTCTTTTTATTTTTTAATTTTTTAATTTTTTTATTTTTTATTGATTATGCTGTTACAGTTGTTCTATTCCCCCTTTATTCCCCTCCACCCTACCCCTCATCCCCACCATTACCCCCCCTTTAGTTTATGACCATGTGTCTCAAGTCCTTTAGATTTTATATTTCCCATGCTATTCTTGCCCCCCCATCTATTTTCTATCTACTGTCTATGCTACTTATTTTCTGTACCTTCTCCCCCCTTCTCCTCCTCCCACTCCCCCTGTTGCTAACCCTCCTTGAGATCTTCATTTCTATGTTCTCACTCCTGATCTAGCTGTCCTTTTAGTTTGCTTTCGTTTTAGGTGTGGTTGTTCATAACTGTGAGTTTGTTCTCCTTTCACTGTTCATGTTTCTTTAACTTCTTTTTCTTAGATAAGTCCCTTCAACATTTCATATAATAAGGGCTTGGTGATGATGAACTCCTTGAATTTGATCTTATCTAAGAAGCACTTTATCTGTCCTCCCATTTTAAATGAAAGTTTTGCTGGATAGAGCAATCTTGGTTGTAGGTCTTTAGATTTCATGACTTGGAATACCTCTTTCCAGCCCCTTCTTGCCTGTAAGGTCTCTTTTGAGAAATCCGCTGACAGTCTGATGGGGACTCCTTTGTAGGTGACTGTCCCCTTAGCTCTTGCTGCTTCTAGGATTCTCTCCTTCATTTCAATCTTGGCTAATGTAATTACGATGTGCCTTGGTGTGTTCCTTCTTGGGTCCAACTTCTTTGGGACTCTCTGAGCTTCCTGGATTTCCTGGAAGTCTATTTCCTTTGCCAGATTGGGGAAATTCTCCTTTATTATTTGTGCAAATAAGTTTTCCACTGGTGGCTGTGCCTTTCTCCCTTCTGGTACCCCTATAATTCGGATGTTGGAGCGTTTAAAGATGTCCTGGAGGTTCCTAAGACTCTCCTCATTTCTTTGAATTCTTGCTTCTTGACTCTTTTCTGTTTGGCCATTATTTGCTTTCTTCTGGACCACTCCATTGATTTGAGTCCCAGTTTCCTTTTCATTGCCATTGGTGTCCTGTGCAATTCCATTCATTTCAATTAGTTTCGCCTTCATATATTTGTCTAATTTGTCGGTATAATCAACCAGTTCTGTGAGGATCCTGATCACCAATGTTTTAAACTGAGCGTCTGTGAGTTTTGCTATTTCTTCATCGCTTAGATCTATTGGCTCTGGGGCTCTGAGATCCTCCTGCGCCATTCTTGGTCTGTTCGGGCCCTTTAAGTGTGAGAAGGGCGCCTTGGATTCCCAGGTCGCTGGGTTGTGACGCTGTATGTAGGGGCGTGGCCAGAGCGGGGAAATGGCGACCCCCTCTGCCGCTTCTCACAGCTGGGTGCGGAGGAGCAGTGCCCTAGGTGGTTCACCTGGGCCGGGCTGCTCAGAGTCGCTGGGTTATGACGCTGTATGTGGAGGTGGGGTCAGAGCAGGGAAATGGCGGCGCCCTCCACTGCCACTTGCCGTGGGGACCTGCCGGCGGGTCCAACCGCCCACTCCCTTGCCTGTCCACCCACGCACAAATGCGCGACCTCAGTCAACACGCAGCCCCGGGCCCGGCTGTCTCCCCCACGGTCGCTCGCCTGGTCGCTCGCCTGGCCGCTTGCTGGGTCGCTCACTAGGTCTGACCCTGCGCCTGGATTCCATGGGCCTGAGTGTGTCTGGCCGAGTCCTCCTGTGCAACCCTGCTCCCCCGGCCACTGGTTTCGCCCCTTACCGGTCAGGCTGAAGAATTTGTTGTTAACGGACTTCCGAAAAGTTCAATTTTCCGTGTTCTGGCTGTGTTTTCTGTTGCTAATATTTAGTTTTCTCTAATCTTGGTTGTGTGAGAAGGCACGGCACATCCACCTATGCCTCCATCTTGGCGGAAGAACCCGTTTTTCTTCTTTTTTAAGGGCTGCTGTAGAAGGATAGTGGGTGGTCTGCACAGTTGAACGCTGGGAAGACAGGTCAGGTAACTAGTTTACAGAAAGGATAACCAGGTGTCTTAGCTCCTACTGTCTTCTGTCCCTGTGCGTCTCCACCCAAAATCAGATTTCTGTGGGCAGACTCGGACGTAGAAAAGGTCACTGTCCCTGTGGTCTGGGAGCAAGGGCCCTGTGAGTGGCAGCTCTGTAAGAACCCCCGTGTTGTGCGGCAGTTTGCCAGCGGCTGGCCGCTGGGCAGATCCCGGCAGGGGTAGTCGTCACGAAGCCTCTGCTGACCCCTTCGCCTGCAAGCTTCGGGGAGTGTGCACCACTGTCCACATTCCTCAGGGGAGAAAGTGGAGGCTCCAGCTTAATCCACTAGCTCTCTGACTGCAGAACTACATGAGAGATCTTGCTAGAAATACCGAGGCCTGGGTCTCGCCCTCCTCTGCCAGAGCGCCTGTGGCTTTGCACCCCACGCTGTGTTGCAGACGCTTGCTCTTCACCAGCTGCTACTGTGTGTGGACAGCAGGGTCTCACACAGAGCAGGCACTCAGGCAGAGCTGAGCAGGAATTGCAAACATGGCCCCCATGCAGCTCTGTAAAGGTCCTGTGTCGTGTGTTGACCCTGTGTCATTTTCACAGTGTGTCCTCTCCCTGTGTCTCTCCCCTTAGGTGATTGCTGGCTTCAACCGCCTTCGGCAGGAACAGCGGGGCCTAGCGTCCAAGGCAGCCGAGCTGGAGATGGAGCTGAATGAGCACAGGTGAGGCAGCCAGAGGTGTTGATGGTAGGGAGTTGGATGGCCCTCTTGTGGGCAGGGCTGCACGGCACGGGCCTTCATTCTGAGACCCAGCCCCGTCATCCTGCCCCAGCCTGGTGATCGACACCCTGAAGGAGGTAGATGAAACCCGCAAGTGCTTTCGCATGGTTGGAGGGGTGCTGGTGGAGCGCACCGTCAAAGAGGTGCTGCCTGCCCTGGAGAACAATAAGGAGCAGGTGAGCAAGGGGCCCTGAGGGGAGGTCTGGGCAGCGAGGGAACGGGGGAGGCCAGGGCTTTAGGGGACAGGAAGGGGAAAGCCTGAGTTGGAGCACATGTCTTGGACCTTGCTCTGCTGCTCCTAGACCAGAGGGGGGGGGGGCAGCACTGGGGACACGGTTTCTGGTCGTGGAGCCCACAGACCCCTGCGCCTGTGTCACCAGGAGGACTGGTTTGACATGTGGCTTGTCTGCCCCTTTCCAATGTGTAACCTTTGGAGGTGGGGCCAGTGAAGAGTCATTTTAAAAACAAGCAGCCCAGCCGTGTCTGGTGTGGCTCACTGGCCTGTGAACCGAAAGGTTGCTGCCTCGTTTCTTGGTGAGGGCACATGCCTGGGTTGCAGGCCAGGACTCCTGGTGGGGTCTGTGCAGTGGATGTTTTTCTCCCTCTCCTCCTCCTCCTCTCTAAAAAAAAATAAATCTTTAAAAAAGCAGCCCAGGTGATTCTCGTGCGCACTAAGGTCCCTGAACCACCGTGGTTAAGAAAGGAGCAACGGGAGTCACCTGTCACAAGTGTGCAGGCTCCGCTACCAGGTTAGGCTGGGGTCAGGGGTCAGAGGTGTCACCTCTTTCCCACTCCCCCAGCCGCTCTCCCCCCAGATGGGGGGACATGATATGACATCTGTTGCTTGCCCTCCAGATACAGAAGATCATTGAGACTTTGACCCAGCAGCTTCAGGCAAAGGGAAAAGAACTAAATGAATTCCGGGAAAAGCACAACATCCGACTCATGGGGGAGGAGGAGAAGCCAGCCCAGGAAAATGCGGACGGGGCTGGGGCCAAGGCCGGCTCTGCAGGGGTGCTGGTTTCCTAGGGACTGAGGCCTTGGCACCTTTTCCTACCCTGACCCTGCCTTCTTTTAATCTCTTTATTATTTTCTCTGCTATTGTAATATTTTTTTGTTGTTAATTAAATGTTTTGGTCAGAATGGTGAGCTGTAGCCTGAGGCCTTCTCCCACTGTGGGGGTGGGGTTCACTGGGGCAGGGGAAGCTCCCAGCATCAGAGGAAACTCGATACTTTGCATACGAAGATGCCTGCTGTTTACTGCCCTCACCCCAGAGATTCCAACACAAATTCTGACTCGAAGCTTGAAATTTAATAAACATTTGTTTCGAGGCAGGCAGCTGTAGTAACACCACTCTGTGAGGCTTAACTGTACACTCCAGCACAGTTCCTTAGAGGTAGAGGTCCAGGGTGCAGACCTGCGGGCTGGCTGTCCTGCCGTCCTCACCGAAACCGCCCACCAGGTACAGCTGGTCGTTCCAAAGGCAGGTGCGGTGGCCCACGCGCTTCAGTGCCCGGTCGGCACATGGGAAGCGGAACCACAGAGCAGGGGAAGTGCCTGTTGAGAGGCGGGGCTGGGCACTGGCGCTCCTCGCACTGATAGGGTCTGAAGACTAGGCTTGTCCCCATTTTCCCTCCTCACTAGATTGTTGGCCTCTGCAACACCAAATAATCTGTGTATTCCTCAGACTTGCCAACCAATTCTCCTCCCCCCCCCTCCATGACTGCCCACTTTCTTCCTACGGTCTCCGGGCTCCCCACTCAGCCACAAGGCTGGCACTCACGGGCATCGTAGACGTAGAGGTCATTGCAGATGGTGTCTCTGGCTCTGGTCAGAGTTTCTCCACCGAATAGCACAGCAAAGGGCCCGACCACAGAACAGGATTGATACCGAAGTCCCCGGGGCCCCTGCGGGGACCCCTGGCTGCTGCTCACAAGCTTTCCCAGTTGTGCCGTCAAACCAGGGGCCTCGGGCGGCTCCTCCTGGGGGGAGAAAGAAGGGACTGGAGGAATTCGAGCGTCCCAATTTTAATAGCCTTCCGCCCTGAGCAAGGTATGAACAGTACCTTAATCTTCCCGCGACCCCACTGCCCAGCTACTTCTGGGTCAGCTGAGCTGCAGCCCCCAAAAAGCAGGAGCTGGTGGCCTGGGCGGGGCCCCGGGGTCGGGAGCAGGGCAGCGCAGTGCCCGGATCGGGAAGCCGAGCGGCAGCCTTCCTCCGTGTAGCTGCGAGCGTGCACCGGTCAGGTTGAGTGGGGGTTCCGGAAACCGCGTAGTCCTGCCGGTTCCCACCCCTTAGCTAAGGGTAGAAAGCAGGCAGGGACTGGACGGTAGCAGGAGAGCTAGGCCATTCCCGGGGTTTGAGGCTGCCAGAGTGGGCGCAGGGGGGTGCCATACCAATAGGTGCGGGCGTTGGGGTCGAGCCTCAGCGAGTAGATGCTGCCGTAGCGGCGCTGAGTGCGCGTCCCGCCCTCCCGGCCGGCCACCCGCAGCTCACGGTCCGAAAGACGGGTGCAGGTGTGGCCGCTGAGGCCAGCGGGGGGTCGGCTGCCGGGCTCCATGGTCCACACTTCCCACTCTCTGCGCTCAGTGTCCAGCACAGACACCGAGGCCAGGCGGTGCGCCCCGTCCCAGCCGCCCACAGTGCACAGCCAGCGCCCGCACAGCGCTGCCGCATCGTGGTGGCTGCGCCTCGGGGCCCCCCGCTCCCCCTCCCGCACAACCAGGCCCCCCACCATGTCCAAGACCACGGTGTCACCGCTTGGTTCCGTAGCCCTGCCGCTTAGGAGGCCCCCCACCACATAGAGCCGGCCTCGCAGCTCGGTGCACGAGTGGAAGGCCCGCGCCAGCAGTGCGTCCCGGGCCACCGGGCTCCAGGTCCAGCGTGAGCCCCCTGCCCTGCCCGGGGATGCCGCTGCCATAGCCCGGGGTGCAGAGGGGCTGCGAGGCACCCTCCACTGGGTCCTGGAGCAGCTGGCGCCTCCAGCTTTGCTCCCTCCGCCTTCGCCAGCAACCCACGCAGCGGCGCGACCACGCCGCAAACTAAGGTCGCAAAGCGCCGGTTACCGTGACGACAGGAGCCCGGGCAGCGTGGTTACCGTGGCGATAGGAGCTGTGCGAGGTGAATGAAAGTCTTGAAAGCCGGTTCCCTGCGGCAGCGAGGGGCAGAGGATCGGAAGGACCGCGTCCCTAAGCGACGAGCTAGGTGCTGGAGGGGCGGGAGGGACCGTGTGGGGCTCCGGGGCTCCCTGGCCTCGCGGCGGCAGACGCAGGCCGTTTAGTCTCCGCAGCAGCCCCACCCTCGTGCTCCGCCTGGCCGCTGGGGGGCAGCAGAGCTCCGGCTCTGGGGCTCGCAGTCCCCACGACACCCGCACACAGGAGCGAGGGCGACGGCCCCTAGACCCAGGATCAAGGGCACCAGTCACCCAGAAGAGCTGCGCTCGCTTAGGCCAAGTAGGGGCGGAGCGAGGCACGACTCCTGCCCGCCTCGTGTCTTCTTCTGTTCAAGCCAGGCCCCTGGGCGGCTCCTCCCTGTCCCCCCAGGACCCAGCAAGAAACGAAGGGGCCCAGATGCAAGTGGTTGGTTTTTGCCACGGGCCTCAGGACAGACAGAAGCCCGGAGCGGGCTGGGCGGGCGGGACAGAAGCTGGATCTGCGTACCCGGAGCTGGGCTGTACGTGGGGCAAGCGCTGCCGCCTTTGCCTCTGGTGGTTTCTACACCTCGATGGCCCAAGCCGCAGAGGTGGCCAAAGTGGGCCAGGAGTCTGATAGCACAGCCGGGCTTTCCCCGCCCTGTCTCGATCCTGCGTCTGTCGGAGAAGGTGGCGCGGAGGGGATGCTCAGGGAGGCACAGCCAGCGAACCGGGAGGGTTGCCTGGACCTGCACCCCATCCACGTGCACCTTAAGCCTGAGGCTCCGTTGCAGTGGAGAAAGCCTCTGCGCCCGCAGCTATCGCTTCGCTGGAGTCCAACATGGAAGACCCTGTTTCCCAGTTCATGGGAAAGTCTAACAGACCCCTAACCTCTCATGTCTTCCACTGAACTCTGAAAGTCAGTCTTCTCCTGGAGGCTTGTGGCCGGCTGATTCCAACAGCCAGATTCCGATCCGTCATTGTCCTAGGATTTAGGGGGGTGCTGCCTGGGGGTGGGGTCACTCTTCTTACATTGCAGCGACCTGTACTGCCTACTGACCTGTTCTGGTCTGCAGCTGCCCCACCACCCCCAGGGCTGGTACCGGAGTGAGGCTGGATTGTGGGGCCCCAGGGGGCTTCCCCGAGTTGGGTGGCTGCGGAGCTGCAGCTGAGGGCTGGAAGAGCCATCTCTGATTGGGAGGGGAGCTGGCCGCCTCCAGTGGAGAAGCTGTAGGGCCTGGTGTTAGCCCAGGATGTCCCCTTGGGGACAGAGTTGGGTTGCGGGGAGCGCAGCATGGGGTCCCTCACAGGATCCACTGTCATCATGGTCACAGGACCCTGCCTCACCTCTGGTCTCCCCTCCTCTTCACTACTGTGTCTTATGCTGCTGCCACCACTTGGGAGACTCTGATTCCATGAGGGCTCCTACTCTTGTCCAGCGAGGACCTCTCTCTAGAGCCTCCTAAAAGCATGAGCCTGGCCTGAGACCAGGACCAAAGAATAAAGGCACCTGTCTCTGCACCCACCCCGGGTCCCTGACCTTCGTGATGCTGTGTGTACAGAGCAGTCCTGGGCTGAGAGGCAGAGCGTGCCATCCAGCCACCTCCTGCTGCCCAGGTGGTTCTGCCTGGCTCCAGGGCCCTTCAGGGCCAAGCAGATTCCACCCCTGAGCTCTGATGGATGCTGTCAGGTGACCAGGACCAGGTTGTCACTGAGGATGGGGCTGGAAACTGGAGATGGAGGCGTCTGCAGGACAGGCTACGCAGCACATGGAATCCCGTGGGAAACAGGACGTCGCCCTGACACCACAGTGACACTCCAGCCCAAGGGGACAACAGAGGTTTTCAGCAGAGGAAAAGATGCTGGGACCCTGCGTCCTGTACAGGGTCCCTCTCCGCCTCTCCGTGGGTGCCAGTGTCCCCCAGGGGATGAAAGCAAGTCCTGTATCCCTGAGCTCCCGCCACCATACCAACTGGCACCCCAGCCCCTTCTGTACAAAGTGCAGAAGCCAAGGCAGCAAGCAGGTGAGGAGCAGCAGCGCTGGACAGGAGGGGCCACAGACCTGTCTGCCCCCACGCGCCAGCTGCTTCCACCCTGATTCACTACGGCTCTTGTGTCTCCCAAAGTCATGTCCCTCCTCTGACCTGGGATCTCACCACAGACAAACAGGACCTTACTCACCCAGGAGCTTGCCCGACTGCCTCCAACCCACCCTCTCACCACCCAGCCCCTCCCGCCGGCCGCCCACTGGTCTGACCCTCACTCTCACTCTTCCTCCCCCCACCCCACCCCACCCCGGCCCTGCCTGACTCACCTCTAAGGCCCATTGACACAAACAAAACTTTCAGCATAACCCACTCAAACCGGTTTAGCTCAGGTGTGTGGCTGCCACGGGCCAGCGGGGCCACAGGCGGGTGCTGGGACACGCACGGGTAACAAGCACCCGCACCTGTGCCCACGGCTGAGGGTGGGTGCGGGGGCCACACCTTCACCAGGGAGCACACCGCGAGGCACAGCTCGTGTTGTCTCTGCCTCTGCTCGCCCAGGGTCCCCGAGGGCGGGGACCAGGCTCGAGGACCCTGTCGCCCCCTGGACTGGCACCGAGTGGCGCTCCCTCGTGCCAGGTGGATGAACGCAGGCAGGCACGCATCCGTACTGACGGTGCCACCGTGGCGTGAATTGCTCCCATTCTAGGGCCCGGAATGTGGGTGGGAGGAGGGTGGGAAGAGGCCTGAGGGGAATGGGGCTGGACGAGACAGGGCTGCTCCGGGAGTCTTCTCCAGCCAGCACTCCTTGTAGCCCATGCCCTGGAACCTGCCTTCCACAGGTTTCCCCCCAGATAAGGGACGCAAAGGACTGAGTATTGAGGACGTGTCCCTGCCCCGCCCAAGCAAGGCCCTGAGACACTGGGTGGTAGCTCAGGGGGTAGGGAGGGGGCGTGTGGAGGGAGGGAGAGAAAGCCCCTTCTCCCCCAGGGCCACCTCTGCTGTGTACAGGGACCACGAAAGTATGATGGTCCCTCCTGGGCTCCACGCCTCCTGTGGAGTCCTGTCTCCATCGGCCTCCGTGTGGCAGGGCCCGGGTGTGCTATGAATGGGAAAGCTGATGGAGGTGCAGGGGCTGCTTCTCCGTGCCTCAGTTTCCCTGGGTTTCCTGGACCTGGAGAGGTGTGTCCATGGGAAGGGAAAGAGCAGCTCCGGACATACGATAGGATCCAACGTGCGCTAATTATGATTATAACGTGGGGTGCTCCCTCCCACTCCCCCCGCCCTGCCCACCCCTTCCTGCCACCGGGGATCTGAAAGCAGCATCAGGGTGCGGCTGCTCCCCAGTCCCAACCCTCCCTCTCCCCCGAGTCCTGAGAGGGAAGGGGCTCGCCAAGGTGGACGTGGGCAGGAACCGGGCAGTTTGGGCGTCCCGCCTGGCCCTTGCGCCCTTGAAGAAGAGGTCACTCCACTGTCATGGCTGAGAGCTGCGATCTAGGACCAGAGCGGGATCCTGGTCCAGAGCAGGGAGGGGTAGGGTCCCGGTCACTGACCAGGGATCTCCGTACTGACACCCCTGCCTTCCTGGATTCACGCCTTTAAGACGAGGTCTTCTGTCCCTTGCGTGCGGGGGGCTGTCTCAGCGTGGATAACTGAGACACGCTGGTAAAACAAGCCCCACTCTAGCTCACAGACGACAGCTCTTGTCCTGGCCCTCAATTTACACATTTGCTGACTCCCTGGCACACAGCAGGCTTCAATCGATGCTGCCTGAACTAAAGCTTACAATTTAGTTAAGGAGATAAGATGTGCACAAATTATATGTAAGTGCACAAACTATAATAAAGGGCCTAGCAGAGGCTGAGGAAGAGCGGGAGGAGACAGTTTAAATCAAGATCATCCTCTCCAAGTCCAGTATCATGAGATAAATGGACAAAGTGACCGTGGAGGTGGTGGGAAGGGACCCCTCACACCTGTGGGACTCCTGGTCAGGGGACAAGAAGGTGTGACCGGATGAGGCCCTGCTGGGGAGGCCAGGAGCTGATTCCCTGGTCAGTCCCTTGGCATCTCCTGCCTAGGGGTGGGGTGGGGGGTCCCTCCGGTCCCTTTTTAGGGATCTTTGAAGTAGCCTCCTGCCTCGGGGACACTGGCGTCTGAGCAAACCCTGAGAGGTCCTCCCGCAAGCCCCTCTGCTCTCTGGGCTGCTTCTCACCTGTGGGACGAGGGCTGGGGCTGGGGCTGGGGCTGGGGCTGGGGCTGGGGCTGTCCCCGGTTCTTCCCATCCCTGAGTCCGGGCCTCCAAAGCTGAGCCCCCTTTACCGTCAGGAGACTGGGGGGATGCTAAGGTCCCAGGAGGGCAGCAAGGCTGTGGGGTGCTCGGCTTCCTTTCCACCCACTTGCCCTATTCCTCCTGGCCCTCACCTCCCTCCTGGGGCCAGGAGGCCCTGTTGCCGCCCTCCCCACCCGCCCCTCTGCCCTGCCTCCTCTCCACAGCCCCTTCCACACACGCTGCCAGGTGAAGCCCAGGGCTGACGATGGGATCCCACCGCACCAGGTCCTTCCCTCCCTCCCCAGCACCCAGTAGCTGGCCCGGGCCGTGGGGGCGGCGGCTCCGTGTCTCCGTGCCAGGCCCAGCCCCCAGAGACGCACCTGTTCTGACCTGCTGAGCAGGTTCCCAGGTTTCTACCGTAGTTGTTGGCCACAGCGTGGGAAGAAGCTCTGGGGGAGCGCAGAGCTCCGATCGCGGGCTCCTTGGGGGTAGCCGCAGTGGGGTGGGCAGAACGGGCCGGGTCCCCTCGCAGGAGCCCCGGAGGGACAGGCAGGTGTGTACGTGCCCGAGGACTCCGCGACTCCCCTGCCTTTGGGCCGGCGACCTCCCCAGCTCTCGAGCCGGCTCCCAGGGAGCGCTCGGCGGACCTTCGGAAACGCGGGGCGGGTCTGCGTTTGGACCAAGGCCCCTGTCCCTGGGAGCCGACATGTGGGGGCCTGAGCTCTGGCTGCTGCTGCTGCTCCTGGCATCGCTCACAGGTAGGCCTCCCGGAGCCACCGGGACCCTTGCTGCTGAGCCAAGGGTGGGTGTGCACGCACACGGGCCTCCCTCCCACGAGTCTGTGCCGAGGACCCACTCTCCCTCCCACCCCGACTGCCAGTCGTGCCCCTGAAGGTTCAGACCAGCTCCCCTTGGTGTCCCCTCCGGCCCTGGGCCAGGCCACCGCATCTGGGGGCCCTGACGACTGCCGCAGAGGCTGGAGCTGCCTCCAGGGGAAGAGATGAGGCGACCAGTGCAGAGGGACAGGGGACCCTCCGCACAGCCTTCACATCCCCACTGGGCCCGAAGCTGCTGACTGGCACTGAGGCTGACTCAGGCTGAGCTGGTCCACAGTCATGGGAACGAGCGCAGGGTGCCTGAAGCCCAGAGACAGGACGGGGTGTCTCTCCTCCTCCGTCCGTGACGTCCTAGGGTCCCAGCACCAGGCACCTGTTTGGGGGTATGGCCCCTCGCTTTCCCTGGACCCATCGTTAGAGGCATGGCGGGGTCATGAGGTGATTCCTCAGACGAGGTGGGACCCGGGGTAGGGAGCCTTGTCCGGCTAAGGTGTGGTCCCTCTAGTTCATCCCTGTTCCCCACTGTCTGAGTCAGATGCCTTGCATTCCTGCTGTCTAGTGCACAGAGAGCACATATGCGTGATCGGGCTTTCTCATCTTCAGATGGGGGACAGTGCACCCCAGTGGGATTGCACGGGCTGTGCCCAGGGTGAGGAGTGGGGGAGGCAGCCCCCTTGGGGGTCTGGGGACCTGCTCATAGGACGGTTTGACCCCCAGTTCTTGGAGCAGCCTTGTCCAGCGGGGCCAGCATCGTCCCGCCCCGCCCCCAGCCAGAGCTGTCAAGGGCTGGATGGTGGGGCTGCTCTCCTTCCATCTTCGACGGCAGTTGGCCCCTGCCCCCCACATCCCAAGTCCCATTCCTCAGACTACCCTCTTTACCTGCTTAGGCCAGGAGGGCGGGGCCCGGCTGCCGGGCCAGGGCCTCAGCCACTCGCCTGCAGGACCTGCCTACACTCAGGAGTGGAGTTGCTGAGTCTCAGGACTCGATGTGGATCAAAGAGCTCGGCTGCAGCTCCCGCACTGGACGGGAGGGAGGTGGAGAGTCAGGCAGGCCAGGGAGTCCTGCCGGTCACTGCCCACTGAGTCCAAGACGTCTGCTTGCGAGAGGGCAGGGTCCCTGGCATCTTTCTCTGTGACACAGAGCTGTTCTTCCTAACAGAAGGCCGGGGGGGGGAGGGGAGGCCCCTCCAGGAAGGGCATCACCCAGACCTTGCCCCGTGCCTTTCGGAAGGGGGCTGCGGACAGGGCACCCTGGCCCCGGGATGGCCCTGCAGGCTGGTGCCCAGCCAGTCGCCACAGTGCTGTCACACACTCAGGGCTGGCGGGTGCCTGAGGGCTGGAGTGCAGACCTCAGGCCCCGGGTCCGAGCACCAGCCGGGCAGCCCACGCTGCTGCCCACGTCCGGCTCCTCCATGTTCAGGCTTCTCCTCAGTGGCTCCCAGGAAGCTGGGGTGTTTCTTGTCCCTGAAAAAGCAGTGGGCTCTGGCCCCGGTTCAGCTATTAATCTGTTAGGGGGCCCGGGGCACCTAAGAAACCCAGAGGTAGGACCCGATGGCTTCCCGGCTCTGATTGCCCGTGGGTGAGCAAGCCCAGCCAGGTGCTCAGACCGGCTGTGGTGACGAGAGGGGGCGGCCCAGCTGCGTCTCTTGAGTGGGGACCAAGGCCAGCTTTCCCCAGACACCACCTTCTGCCTCAGCACGTCGGGCCCCCAACTGCAGGGCCAGGAGAGCTCTGCGCCCCAGGGGCCCTGCCCCACCCCTGACCGGGAGAGGAGCGCACTTGGGAGGTGCCCGCACGCAGCTCTTTGTTTCTCTTTAATGGGATGAGCTTCCGGGTGAGGTCCCCTCCTCCTCCCTCCCAAGTCTGCCAACACCCCAACACCCCTCCAGTAGGGTCTTCTCGCTAGCTCTTTGTCTGGCCCCTGGGCTCAGAGGGTGAGGGGCTCTCTGAATTCTGAGGTCTGTGCTCTGGGGGGTGAGGACCAGCCTTTTGTTGGGGTTGGTTTCCTGGAAAGGGAGGGGCCATCCCTGTTTTTCTTCTCCTGTTACATGGGGGGCAGGCCCTTCCCTGTAGCACCTGCCCAGACCTAAGGAAGCCCTGTGGCCTCAGATACCTCGGTCCCACCCTGGTGCTTTGGGGGCTGCACTAAGGGGACCCCTGCCACAGAGATCGTGCAGCAGAATCCACTGTCCCAGAAATACCTGGATCGGCTGCCTTGGGGGCCCCCCGCTGGGGACCTGGCCTGCAACCCAGGCATGTGCCCTGACTGGGAATCAAACTGGTGACCTTCTGGTTCGCAGTCCACTAAGCCACAGCAGCCAGGTCCAAACAGCCATTTCTGCACCAGATTTAGGCAGAGAGGAGGGATGGGGAGGGTGGGAGCTGAGTCTGGAGGGAAAGAGAGGGGTCCGGAGGAACAGAGCAGAAAACAAGAAGGGGCCTTGAGACCTGGGGCTGCCGGCCCTGGAGGAGGGCTGCGAAGGAGGGACAGGAACCGGAGCCTTGGCCTTGCCCTCAGTTCCCTGCCCTTTACGATCTGCGTGAGCTGAGAGCTGAGCTGGAGCAGAGCTGGCCACACTGGGGGGGGGGGGGGCTAGGATCTCGGGAGTTTGGGAGAAGTTGAATCCTGGGTCTCCCACCCACAGTGTGGCTGCTGCGGTGACTCAGCTGGGCTCAGACTGGCTCCGGGGGGTTTAGGGGACTTATCTGTGTGTCTGGGCCAGAGCGGAGCCGCCTCCGGGCCTGCCCCGGCCCATTGTTCTCCACTCTCTGTGCGATCAGTGTGGCCCCCCCCAGACTCTAATCAGTGGGTGGGCTCTTTGCCCAGATTGAGAAGCTCTCACTAAGCTGGGGGGCTTAGGACCATGGGGGGTAGGTGAGGGAGGGGGGTGAAGCCAGAGGGAGAGGCTCCTGGGTTCAGAGTCCCTCAGCACTCCATGGCCGCAGCAGAGAGGGAGGGAGACGGCTTGTGTGTGTCACCCGTCCTGAGTGGGGGGCTTCAGGGCCGTGCCTTCTCCCCTCAGCCTCACCCGCAACCCCCGCTCTCTGTGTGGTGAGGGGAAGCGAGGGTCAGTGGAGGAGCCCCAGACCCTGCATGGCTCGGCCCCTCCCCCAGCCCCAGGCAGGGTGCCCCCTCTGCCACACCCACTCCAGAGGACCATCACGGGGACCTGGAGCCAGAGCTGATTTTCGGGTACTGGCCGCAGCAGAGCCCTTGGGGGGCCGGAGGTGCTGGGGGCCTGGGGAGCAGCTGGCAGTGAGGAGGAGGAGTCCCAGTGAGAACCCAAGGAGCAAGGGCAGAGCGAGGTCTTGTTCTGGTTGTTGGGGGTCCCCGACAGCAACATCCCGTCACCTGGGGGGACAGTGACCTTACGTCTGGGTCTTCGTGCCGGAGCTGACTCTGCCCTGCACTCTGGGCTGAGGTGGGAGGGCAGCCGGGGAGGCACTCTGGCCAGACACAGAGCCACGCACCACCGACCTCGTAGCTGAGACAGGACTGGGCAGGCAGACGTCCGAGTGTCCGCCGTGCGCAGAGTCCTCAGTCCCTGCACCCACATGCCCGCTTCTCTCTGGACACAGAAAGACAGGCACACTCCCCGAAGGTCAGACGGGACCACTCCCAGGCGACACACCCCCTGCGGGCCAGGAGACGGCCCCCACGTGCGAGCAACAGCCCCAAGGGCCCCAGGCCTCCCCTGCAGCCCTGCGCCCAGGCCCACAGAACTCGCACTGCCTCCTCCTCACTGACCCCCACTGTCCCCTCAGGAAACGCTGATGGGGACAGGCCCCTTGGAAGGAAGAGCCTCCTTCCCCAGAGACACTCTCTGTGGCTGTTGGCCTCAGTTTCCCCTCCTGAGACCACAGGCCAGGCCTCACACACGGGAAAGTTGGGGCCAAGCTCAAGGTGGGGAGTAGCCAGCCAGCAGCAGCCAGGGACAGAGGGCCGTCTGGGAGCGGGCGGGCGTGGGGGCCTGGCCGGGGTGCGGGAAGCTGGGCAGGGACCCGTCTGGCCAGTCGGGCCTGTTCCGTCCTTGCGCAAGGTGTGGCTGGTGGCGGCTGTGGCTCCGCAGCAGGTCTGAATCACCACGGCTCCTGACCAGCGTCCCGGGGCTGCAGGGTGGAGGGCTGGGAGGGTCAGAGGGCGGAGGGCCTGCCAGCACAGTCCACCGGCCTCAGCAAACAGGTCCAGGAGAAGGGTGGTGGGCTCGGCCCGCACAGTGACCTCACCAGACAGGCAGTATGTCTCCTGTGCGCTGGTGACGTCATCGTGCTGACACCAGGGAGGCCTGGGGCGGGGGCGGGGAGGCCGTGCCGGCTGCGCTGGTTCCAGCTGAGCCCCGGCTCTCCTCCTTCTGAGTGCGCGTGTGTGCGTGTGCATGCGTGCGTGGAAGCGGGTGTCACCCTGAGCCGAGATGCTTCCACTAAATACTGGATTTAAAACAAGGGGGGCTGTGGGAGAAATCCAGGGGGCCTTCCCTGTGGCCCTGGGCTCCTCACTGCAAAGTTTAGGCTTGTCGCTCAGGACTGGGTCTGGGGACCGCCGGCAGGGACCCGAGGGTGGGACCAGGCGTGTGCTGGCCGCTCCGTGCCCCCTGTACCCTAGGGACTGATTCTGGGGGGAGTGTGGGTGACCAGTTGGGGGGCAGGTGGTTGTTAAGGGTCAGGATGTGCATGAAAAGCACGCTGGCACCACCCTGGAAGCCGTCCTGGGAGGGGGCACTTCAGTGTCCTGCAGGGGCCAGGCTTGGGCCCCGGAGACCGTGGTGTGGGAAGCGGAGGATGAGGCACAGGAAGCCCTCATCCGCGGCCACGCCAGGTCTTCCCTGGCAGCCCTGCCCCCTCGGGGAGGACGGGAAGCGCTGGGGAGGGTGCACGCAGTCCGCTGGACTCCCAGGCTGGGCTGGGTGGGACCAGCACCAACGCAGGCAGCTCAGGGCCCTGGTATCCAGCCCTGCAGGTCTGTCCCGTCCCTTGCAGGGCCCTCCCAGCTCCCAGCGGCCGCCTCCCTCCACCATCCTCCCACCCCGTGCAAGCAGGGCTGCGGGGACCCCTCCCTCTGCCCCAGGCTCTGCCTCACTGGGACCCTCTGACCCACTGGGGGGCGCCTCTGTTCCCTCCACCTCACGCCCGCCCTGTCCACCCCCTTCTTGGTCCCCTTGCAGCAAACCCAGCCAACCAGTCCCTCCTGTCAAAGGTTGCCCTGCCCACCCCTCTCTGTCCAGAGGAGACTGCTGGTTCCTCCCTCGTGCCCCTGCCCACCCTCTGCTTGTCTGTCACCCCCTCACTCACTCGCTCACCCAGCGGCCTGACAGCGCCGGTTCCAGGCCGGAGGGCAGGCCACGTGCTCCGCGTGCAGCGGGAGGCCCAGTTTCCACTCTGCGCAGCTCGGCTGGTGGGAGCAGCAGGCACAGCCTGTGGGATGAAGCCGTGTGTGTGTGTGTGTGTGTGTGTGTGTGTGTGTGTGGCAGGGGGCGGTCACTGCAGGGTGGCACCAAGCTGCCTGCACCCACAGTAGGTAGGGGGTGGGCTCCAGGAGGTGTCCCCTTGGGTGTGTAGCAGCCGCCAGGCAGGGAGGAGGGCATCCGGGGCAGGGCCGTGGGGACAGGGACCACACAGCAGGCGTGTGCAGTGCGTCCGAGTCTTCTGGTCACCTCTCTTCCTGGGCAGTGATGGTCCTGCTGAGTTTCTACCAGGAACTGTCCCCTTCTCCCCCTCCCACCAGCTGGGCACCCTCCTGGTCCCTCCTCGAAGGGCACCGAGTCAGAACCACCCCGCCTGGGCCCCTGTCTGTCTCCACCTGCACTGTCACGGGGGCAGGAGATGGGCCAGGGCTGCAGGACCCGCCCCAGTGCCGCGTGGATACCCCCCCACGTCCGGGTCCTCTGGCTGCAGCTCCCGGGCTACCCACCGCACGTCTGCCCTGAGCCTCCAACCCGAGGCCTTTCTGTCTGGGGGGATTTGCTCATTCCTCTCCCACGGCCTCCACCCCTCCCACGCAGGACACCTTCCTCTCTCTGGGAACCCAGGTCTCTCTCATCTTCAAGTCTCAAAAAGAATGTTCTGCCGGGCGTCCGGCCTGGGCTCTCCCTGCACACCCAGGCCCTTGCCGAGGCCTCAGCTCCTGGCCACGCGCCCCGCAGGTGCTCTTTCCCCCTCGGTGGGACGGGCTTGTCCGAGGTGTCCCCAGCTTTGTGCACATGGGCCTGGCCCCCTGACAGAACCCTGAGCGCCCCGAGGGCAGAAGCCAGGTCTCTGCTGGGTCACAGCCCCCACCTTGGGCTGGGAGAGGGTGTAACTCTGCCACTCCTCCTGGGCGTGGCCGTAGGCAAGTCATGTCCTCTCTGGGTCTCAGTTTTCTCACCTGTTAAACGGTGATAATGACGCCTACCTGCCGGGAATGCTCTGCGGTCGTGGTTGCAGTGAGGTAATGGCCCCGAGGGCCCCCTTCACTGTCATCCTGTATGCGCGTCCCCCCCCCCTCCGAGGGACCCCTAACCCGGGCTGTGTCTCCCCCTGCAGGCCAGTGCGTGGCCGGTGAGCTGGAAAGCGCGGACCTGGTGACTGTGGTGCTGGGTCAAGATGCGAGGCTGCCCTGCTTCTACCGAGGCGACGCCAACGAACAGGTGGCGCAGGTGGCCTGGGCGCGCCGGGATGGGAACGAGGGCCCGCGGGAGCTGGCGCTGCTGCACGCCCAGTACGGGCTGCACGTGAGCCCGGGCTACGAGGGCCGCGTGGAGCAGCCTCCGCCTCCGCGGAACCCCCTGGACGGTGCGGTGCTGCTGCGGAACGCGGTGCAGGCGGACGAGGGCGAGTACGAGTGCCGCGTGAGCACCTTCCCCGCCGGCAGCTTCCAGGCGCGGCTGCAGCTCCGCGTGCTGGGTAAGTGCACTGCCTGTGCGGAGGCCCGAGGGCGCCTGCGGGGGGGTTGGGGGGGCGGCGCAGAGGTGGGGCAGGAGTAAGAGGTGGGGTAGCGGAGGTTGAGGGAGCCTCTTGTAGCCCATTCCCCCCACCCGCCCGCAATCTCCAGGTCACCTCAGTGACTCGATCCAGCCGGGTCAGCCTTGGGGAAGGGCTTCCACCCGCTGACCTGAAACCTGCCCCCTTTGTTTCTTCTAACCTGTGGGGCAACACGGCCCAGCTAGTTCTCTCTCACCTGAGCGCGCGCTCTCTGCTTCCTGCACCAGCCCGCCCCTCCCCCACCGCCAACCGCACCTGGATGCCCTCCCAGGCCCCTGCCCCTTTCCTTCCCAGCTCAGGCGGACGCCCTCCCCTGGCTTGGGCCTGGGTGACCGTCCAGCAGCGCACATTTCAAAGAGCAGAGACCCCAGCCTGGTGGCGCAGCTGGTTAAAGCATCATCCCTGATGCGCCAAGGTTACAGGTTCCATCTCAGGTCAGGGCACATACAAGAAACTCTGGCCAAAAAAAAAAAAGAGCAGAAGACCTTCCTCCTGCCCCACCCAGCTCTCTTCTCCAAGCTGAACTTACTGGTTTCCACAACATTTAAAGACACCCTTTCAAAGCCTCCTTCCAGCGGACGTGCAGTCCCAGGTATGACCAGGTAGGGCTAATACTGTTTGATCTGGAACTTCAGTGAGTGTGGTCAGAGACCACAACTGCCCTTTAGAGCGTCACTTGGCCCTGTGCACCGAGGTCAACGGAAGCCCTAGACCTACGGCCAAGTTAAGCCTCCTCCACTCTGTGCCTGGGCTGTTACCATCACGAAGACAGGAAAGGCCAGCATCGCATCCCTTCACCCTCCAGCCTTGCAGAGAAGCGCAAGCGTGACCTAGCGGTCTAGGGACGTGTCACTTAGCTTCCTTGAGCCTCAGCCTCCCGGCCTCTGAACCAGGGACGGTGACCTCTGGGCGGCTCAGTGGTGTGTCGACTGTACGAGGTGACATCTGTGTTGTATTTAGCATAATACTGGGTGTAACAAGTGCTTAGTAAATGGCACCTGTTATTGTGATTAGATACATGTTATCTGGTTCGTCTTTAAATTACTTCATTGCTTTCATTAAAAAATGACCCAGCTTAGTGTAAAAAATACCAAATCCTACCACTCATCTGGTCTCTCTCTCGGTGCAATGAGAGGGACTGAGCCAGGAGGGGCGGGGCCGCCCGACTGGCGGAGCAGACTCTGCGACCACACCTCCTGTCCATCCGTCTGTCCACAGTGCCTCCCCTACCCTCACTGAACCCTGGCCCCGCGCTGGAAGAGGGCCAGGGCCTGACACTGGCCGCCTCCTGCACAGCGGAGGGCAGCCCGGCCCCCACCGTGACCTGGGACACGGAGGTCAAGGGCACCACGTACAACCGCTCCTTCGCACACTCCCGCTCAGCCGCTGTCACTTCGGAGTTCCACCTGGTGCCCAGCCGCAGCATGAACGGGCAGCCGCTCACCTGCGTGGTGTCCCACCCGGGCCTGCTGCAGGACCAGAGGATCACCCACGTCCTCCAAGTGGCCTGTGAGTGCTGGGCTCTTGGGGGGGCCCACGGGCATCAAGAAAGTCCGTGAGACACTGGGACACCCTGAGCCATACCAAGCCGGCCGGCAGGGTCCCGGGGCCCTGACATGCGGCTGAGAGAACAGCAGCCAGAGTGGGGAGGGCCGGATGGGGCCGCCCCCGAGGACCGAGGGCCTCTCCGACCTTCAGTGCCCTGCTCCTGACGAAGGCAGTCGCCTGCCTCACGGGGCTGCTGGGAGAGCCACAGGTAAACTTGGAATTGGGTCCAGAGAGAGACTTGGGACACGCCTGGGCCCTGCTGCTTACCAGCTGCCCCTCGCCCTCACTGGGCTGGGAGTGTAGTCACCCCACTTCCAGGGTTCCGGTGGGAGTTAAGAACTGGGAGTGCCAAGCGCCTCCCTCGGTGCAGGGAAGGTGCACAGGGAACCACAGGTGGCTCCCTGCACTGCATTCCAGCCTCCGCGGGAGGAGGCCACTGTTTTCTGCTGTTGCTAACCCAGCATGTGGCACAAAGCTGGTCCTCGACAGATGTTTGCTAAGGAAGCGAATGGAGCAGATTGTTTAGCTCCCAGCTCTGCTGGGCACCCTGGGGGGCCGGCAGGGGTGTGCTGAGGCCCTGAGGGGCGGCCCCTGTGGACTCTCTGAGCCCTGAGAGGGTGGAGCCCCTCGGCGAGGCTCTGCCAGAGATGAGCGCCAGGGCTGGCACCGATGGGGAGGATGCAGAGGTTGCAGGGGGCCCTTCCAGGCAGGGTGGAGCCTGCTGTGGGGACCCTTGGAGGCACAGCAAGATCAAAGCCATCATTCCCATGTTTCTCCTCCCACCTCCCACCCAGTCCTCGCCGAGGCCTCTGTGAGGGGCCTTGAAGACCAAAAGCTGTGGCAGGTGGGCAGAGAAGGTGCTACGCTCAAGTGCCTGAGCGAAGGGCAGCCCCCTCCCTCCTACAACTGGACCCGGTAAGGGCCTGGGCCGAGCAGCCCCACCGGGGATCAGGGTCCTTCTCTCTGAGGCTGGTGTGTCCTCATTATGGGCTAGAACAACATATTCTGAGCCCCAGATCAATTGGGGTGCACATTCAGACCAACACAAGAGCACGCGTGCTTGTTGAATGCTCCTGGCTTGTACCCAGAATAAGCTAATAAAGACCTTGGCTCTTTTTTGGTAACTTTTAAATGCTAAAGCACTTAAATATTAACATTGTATATTTTTATGTAACTTCCTAAAGTGGGCAAGACAAAAGGATACCTGATTGGAACTGCTATTAAACCCACATTCCTGTAACCCGCCCCCACCTCTGCCAGTCCCTTCACGGAGGGCTTGGCCTTTCCCAGGGTCTGCTGGCCAGGGAATCAGGAGGGTCGGGCCCACGTGTGGGAGCCCGTGAGGGCGAGTGGCCTTGTGCCTGGGGGCTCTGCCCTGGTCTCTGTGTGTAGCCCTGAGGGACAGCCCGCTGTCCCCTTTTCCAAGTTCATCGGGGCTCAGGCAGGAATGAAGTGTCTCGTCGTGCAGACTCCACACTCTGTGTGCCTGGCACCCCGGGCTGGGTGACAGGAGGTCTGAGGGAGCTCGTGGGGCGGCACGCGCGTGTGCGGGGGTGCCCGGGTCAGGCTGGGCGGCAGGGAGAAGGGGGCCTCTGCCCAGGCCTGCCTGGGGGAGGGAGGGGCACCGTGGGAACAGCCTGGGCTCGGGTGACGACAGGCGGGAAGGCGGTGCAGGGCCGTCCGGGCTTGTCGGCGGTGGCGGCCTCAGCCCGCCGGGCCGGCCAGCACCCAGCGGCTTCCCCTCCCCCAGGCTGGACGGGCCTCTGCCCAGCGGGGTGCGTGTGGAAGGGGACACCCTGGGCTTCCCCCCGCTGGCCCTCGAGCACAGCGGTGTGTACGTCTGCCACGTCAGCAACGAGCTGTCCTCAAGGGACTCTCGGGTCACCGTGGAGGTTGTTGGTAAGCCCTGGGGCGGACGCAGGGGCGGGGGGCCACAGCAGCAAGACCCAGCCAGCTGGAGAGGGCGAGGCCACGTGCCTGCGGGGTGGTCTGGGTGTGTGTCACGAGGACAGTGTGGGGGACGCGTCGGGGCCTGGGCGTCCGGCTCGAACAGTGGCCTGTCCCTAGCAGACCCAGAGGAGACCACGGGGAAGCAGGTGGACGTGGTGTCGGCCTCGGTGGTGGTGGTGGGCGTGATCGCGGCGCTGCTCCTGTGCCTGCTGGTGGTGGTGGTGCTGCTGATGTCGTTATACCACCGGCGCAAGGCCCAGCAGATGACCCAGAAATTGTGAGTCCTGGCTGCTCCTGGGCGGGGGGAGCAAAGCTGGGGGCGCAGAGGAGGCAAGCAGCAGGTGGGCTGGACCAGGGAAGGGGAGGGACTGAGTGTGGACATTGTGGAGCTTACAGACCAGCGGTGGGGGCAGGCTTTTGGGAGGTGAGACAGAGCTTGGAGCCGGGACCACGGCTGCACAGGGACCCACAGGCCCGCCTGGGTGTCTGCGCGTGCACGGCGCTCGTGCACATCCACACGTGCTCGGCGGCCACGCAGTCACCCATCAGGGACAGCACAACTCTCAGCTCCGTGTCCCGGTGGTGGAGCTCACTGCGGGGGCCCCACGACTCTGCTCCTGACCCACTGGTGTCTTTCCCAGTGAGGAGGAACTGACCCTGACAAGGGAGAACTCCATCCGGAGGATGCATTCCCACCACGGGGACCCCCGGAACCAGGTACGTGCTCCTTGCTGAGCAGGGAGCCATCTGGCCACTGACTCCCGGCATGGGCTGGGCCGGGGCGCCTTTGGGGGGCGCTACTGCTGCTCTGCTTCTCCTGGGCTCTGTGGGAAGCCACCAGTGAGCACCAACCCCGGGCTGGGGCTGGGGAGCTGCGATGCACGCGAGGACGCTTGTATTCAGGAGAGAGGGGCTGTGGGGCTGGGGGACGGTGGTCGGGGAGGAGGCTGGTGGGGGACAGACCGAAGAGGCTGAGCCCTGTCCTGACTCCTCCCCCATGTCCGGGCCCTGCAGCCGGAGGAGGGTGTAGGGCTGAGAGCCGAGGGCCACCACGATAGTCTCAAGGACAACAGTAGCTGCTCTGTGATGGTGAGGCCCCCGGCCCCACCGGCATCCCCACCGCTCTCCTCAGGCCCCTCCTGCTCCTCCTGTGCTGGGTCCAAGGCCCCTCTCCTGACCCTGCCGCCTTGGCCTGGCTCAGGCTGCCAGCCCCATACCCCTGCTCTGCCTCAGCCGCTGTCTGTCCCCTTGTCCCCAACCCAACACATGCTCCCAGCTCCCTCTCTGGTCCCCTGTGCCTCTGAGACGGTCATGACCCCTGACCCCTGCTTGTGCCTGACCTCCGGCCCCGCCTTGCCCCACCGGCCCCTCGGGTCTGACCGCGCAGCTGTGGTCCCTGACACGCCCCACCCTCGGTCTGCAGAGCGAGGAGCCAGAGGGCCGCAGCTACTCCACGCTGACCACAGTGAGGGAGATAGAGACGCAGACCGAGCTGCTGTCCCCGGGCTCCGAGAGGGCAGAGGAGGAGGAGGATGGCGACGAAGGCATCAAGCAGGCCATGAGCCACTTCGTACAGGAGAATGGGACGCTGAGGGCCAAGCCCACGGGCAACGGCATCTACATCAACGGGCGGGGGCACCTGGTCTGACCCAGGCCCGCCTCCGCAAGCCCGGCCTCCTGCCGACGTGGGGGCTGTCCACTCTCTCGGACCCCCACACCCCACGGACTGCTCGACCTTTTGCTCCGGCCCCTGCGTCCGATGCCGGGACGGCCCGTTGGCTGGGTCCCTGCACCGTGCGTGCAGGTCACTGAGTGAGTGTGAGTGTCAGTGTGAGTGTGCGTGTGAGTGTTGGCTGGGGGCGTGCGTGGAGGGGTGGCCGTGTCCGGGACTCCGTGCAGAGAGTGCCGTGTGTGTGGCTGTGAGACCTCCACCTGCGAACGCGGGTGTTCGCTTCAGACCCAAGAGCAGTATTAGTGACGCGGAGGCTGGAGGCGAGAGGTGGGGGCGGCAGGCACTTCCAGGTGTGCGGGCGCAGCTGGAGCTGGAACCTGGCCTCCTGCGTCGGGAGCTGGGCTCCCACACTGGGCACCAGAGGGCGAGTGCGGAGCCACGGCCTGGGGTCCGCGAGACTCCAGCTGGTACAGAAGAAGCCCTTTGCCCTCTGGTGGCCTCAGGGCCTGCTGCATGGACATACTTTCTTTAAGGACTAAAGCTCTGAACCCTTCGAGAAGAAAAAGACTTAAAGAGACTTTTGATTGGTATGAAGTCACTTCCGCTTCAAGTGAGGCCAGTTTGTTTGGGAGCCGGGCACAGCCCAGAGCCCAGGACTGACTTCCTGTGGGTCTGAGAGAGGCTCCTTCTCCAGCATCTGAGCCCAGGCGGCCTCTCGGGAGGGAGCCTGGAGCTGGTGGGGTCGGAGGGTGTCCGCCTGGGCTGTGACTTCAGGGGCAGGGTCCGCCCTCGGTCCCCTGGGCTCCTGTTTTCTTCGCCGTGTCCACAGTGGCCTGTGCCCCTATGGGCAGTTGTTGGGACTTGGTGCTGAGGGTTCCTGGTTTGGTTGTTGGGGAAAGAGGGTGGGGGTCCAGGGTACTCGATGGAGCTGCAGGGGCAAGACTGTCTCCGTCCCCAGGGCCTTGGGGCCACCTCCTCGGGGCTTTTCTGGCCACGTCTCTGGGTGGAGGCTGAGTGGGGATGGGGCCTGTTCGTACCTGGTCCTCCCAGACACACTCGGCCCAAATCCCTCGGCCGGGCGCCCAAACCCCGCCTGGCCTCACGCCTCCTGGGTCTCTGAACAGAGGAGAGACTCCCCGCCCTGCCCCCCAGGCAGCCCAGGACCCTGGATCTGGCTTCCTCGTATGTACATTCCATGTAAATATGTGCACATTTGTACATAGAAAGCGATCTTCTGTTTTTAAATAAACAGATAGAAAACTCCTGTTCTGTCTGGCCCCTTCCCTGTCCCCAGAGCCGTGTAAGCCCCAAACTCTGTTCTCGTCTCAGCGCCACTGTTCCCCTATGGTCCCAGGGAGGGAGGAGTTAGGTACCTGTGGCCGGGAGGGGACAGGAGAGGAATGACACCCACAAGACGGACGGATGGCCACCCGTGAGTTCCCGGGGGTCTGTGTGCTCTGGAGAGGCAGACACAGGAACCACGCCCCGAGCGAGTCCCCGGAACGTCCGAGTCGGAAGGACTTAGGCTCATCTGCGTGAACACCGCGGCTCAGGGACGTCCCAGAGGGGCCTGGCCTCAGCGTCCTCCGTCCTGCGTGTGCTCGGCATGGCTCTGAGTGGCCTTGCTCCCAGGTCAGCCTCAGGTCTCCACCTGGGACCCCAGAATTCTGGTCACCAAGGGCGTGTCACCTGCCCAAGGCTCTGACATCGGCGGCCCCAGCCAATGAGCGAACCCGGTGTGGGTGAGGATGTGAATGTCAGCTGCCTCCCCCACCCGGTCCTGTGGTTGCAAAGATGCTCTAACAGGAAGCGGGTTTGGGGCGCTGCACAGCTTCCTGCCCCAGGCCCGAGCAGGCGAGAGGGGCGAGTGCCAGGTCCGCCACGAGACCCAGCTTCGTGCCAGGGTCCTGGCACTTCCTCTTCCACGACCACTTCCGCGTGGCCAGCGGGAGCCCCAGAGGCAGGGGCTGTTGCCTGTCGCCCAGGCCACCCTCCACCCCCAGTTCGGAGCCCTGCCCCCTGGGGCCAGGCCCAGCCCAGAGGCCAGCTTGGGATTTTATGGGGGACCGCTAGGCCAAAGGTCCCGGGGGACGGAGGTGGCCGGGCCAGAGGCCTGGGACTCCGGCCATGAAGTCTCGGCAGAAGGGAAAGAAGAAGGGCGGCTCGAAGGAGCGGGTGTTCGGCTGTGACCTGCAGGAGCACCTGCGGCACTCGGGCCAGGAGGGTAAGGTGGCGGCTCCGAGCTGCGGGGCCCGTGGGGGTCCCGAGGTGTCCACGGGGACAGTGCCCGGGGGCTGCTGAGCAGGCGAGGTGGGAATCTGCTTCGTGAGAAGGCAGGGACGGGAGAGGAAGGCTGCGGGGGGGGATGGCAGGCCCTTGGGTCTGAATGAAAGGGGCAGGAGGGGCCCCCCTTGAGTCCGAGGCGGCCCTCAGGGGCTCCAGGTGGAGGACTGCGGGCCCGAGGTGCGCACCCTGGTCCCCTGGCAGCCTTGCCGGGCCGCAGGTGAGGAGCATTTAGGGTGGGGACACCCTTCCTGGTCGTCTGGGATTCCCCTGCTCTCCTTGTGCAGAGGGAAACCAGTTCAAAGCGGAGGGCCAGAGAGAAGCGGTCTCCGAGGTGGGGACGCCAGGGAGTAGGAGGTGGGTGGAGGGTGCCGTGGAGGCCGGTGGGACCTGGGTGGCCTGGGAGGGGGCTGGGGTAGGAGCAGGGCCAGGGACGGACATGGCGGCTCCAGGTCGGCCTCGCTCTGTGCTGGGTGGGGAGCAGCCGCTGAGCACATTTCTCAATCTGCCCTGAAAGTGAACGCAGGCAGGTATCCCGGCCGCCCAGCCCAGCTCCTTTTGGGCTCGTCCAGCTCCTCCCAGAGAAGGGCCCATTCTTCGCTCTTGTTCTTTCCCCCACCCCCACCCCCACCCAATCTGTCATTTCCTCTTAGTCGTCCCCTGCCTGGGCTGTGGCCCCTGCAGTGCAGGCAGGGGACTGGTTCCTGCTCATTTCCTGCTCAGGGCCCCGCCCCGCATCCCCAGACACCTTCTTCCCCTTTTCTCCTCCCCCAGGGGCCCCCGTCCCCACTGGCCTTGGCGAAGGGAAAGCCCAGGCACTGAGGAAGAGTGTGGAACAGTGAAGTGGCCTCTCTGGGCTTTGCTCTTCTCCGTGGGCAAAGCCCAGCTGTGAGGAGCCGCCTTTACCAGGGAGGGATTCCCTCCAGGGAGTGGAGGCTGTAGGTCAAGGGCACGAGACTCCCCGGCACTCGTTCTCTGCAAACCCAGTGCCTCCTCTCCCTCCCAAAACCGACCCCACTCCCGTGACCCTCTGTCTGTGGGGCCAGCAGGTGAGGGCCGCTCTCTGGAAGGAGACACCTGTTGCTGCATCCTTACCTCAGTGCATCGCAGGGGCTGAGAGAAAGCAGCCCGGCTGCCCGGCAGAGCCTCACCTGAGCCCGATGTGGGGGGGCGATCTTGGGCACCAGAGCAGCAGTGACAGCTGCCCCTCGCCCAGCCCCCCTCGCACAGACAGGTGGCTTCTCACTGACCCAAGGCCCAGCAAACATGAAAGCCCTGGCCAGTGGAAACCTGTGTGTCTGGTTGATTTATCCTCGGTTCCATCTCAACACCATCTCCCAGCTCATGGCCCCAAGGTCCTGATGTCTATCTGTTTCATCTCTTTCGACACCTTGTTGAGGTTGCTGATTCTCTGGGTCCCGGCTGTGACCTCCCCCACACCCCTCTGTCTCTGCCTCCCCTACCCTGTCTCTAACTTGTAGGTCTTACCCCATCTCCCTGATCTCTAGCTCCTTGACCCCCCATCTCTCTGACCCTGTTCTCTCTTCCCCCATCTCCTTGACCCATTTCCTCTGTGGCTCTGCCCCCCCCCCCGGGCCCCCGAAGGCCTGCTCCAAGGGCCTTCTCTGGAGTTTGAAGCCGACAGAGGACAGAGGGGGAGGCCGGCCTGCCGGGTTACAGCTCATGTGGAAAGGACCTGGGCTTTAGGTGGCAGCGGCCTGTGTATGAGTCACGAGGCGGCCAGAACTGGGTGTAGCCTCACGAGAAGCCAACGCATCTTCGGTGCGCAGTGCTGGGCGCTGGAGCTCAGGGACCCTTGCTGGGGGCACAGGTCCTGGGGGAGGCATGGTGACCCAGGGCCAGGGACGTGTGGAGGTGAGAGAAGGGACTGAGCTGCGAAGGTTAAGGAAGCTGTCACTCTCAAGGTGACTGGTGTGGCAGCCCACACTTTTGCAGCCGTGGGGCGAAGGGTTCCTGACCTTTCTTGAGTCCCGGCTCTGGGCTGCAGGGGGGCAGAGGGCGTGGACAGCAGGTCCTACGAGGAGGGTTCTCAGTCGTAGAGGATGGATTTATGGTTTCCTTCATTCTGTACTTCGGTCTCACTGAATTCCACAGAGCTTAGAATGGATAACTTCCCAGACCCAAAACTTTAGAAAAAGAGTCAAGGATGAAGGAACTGGGCTGACGGGAAAGTGAAAGGAAGAGTGGGACCAGTGCCCAGAAAGGTGAATCAGGTTCTTTGTGGTTGGCGGAGGCGGCTGGGAGCTTCCTGGCGGCCAAGGCGGAGGGAGGTACAATCAGCTGAGAGACTCCTGAAGCCGAAGGAGAAGACGGCCGGGCGGGTGGCTCAGGAGAGACTCAGGGTTTTCTGACCCGGGCACGTGACCTCGGGTGGGTCTCAGTTAACAGGACTCGATGTTTTCTCTTCAAAATAGTCTGTATTGTCTCCAAGACATGCCACCAATTCTCATAATCGATTGCTGATTAACTGAATCATTCAATAAACATTTACTATATACTGTGTTTCAACACTGGTCTGGATGCTGGGGAGGATGTTACATTGTGTCCAAAGTCATAGACAGAAAAGAAACAAATCAGGACACAGGGATAAAGAGAGGGGTGCGGAGCTACGGTAAGTAAAGAGCTCAGACTTGGGGGGCGGTGTTCAAGGTGTGTTGTGAGGAGCACAGGGGTGTCCCCAGATAGAGTCAGGGGGGAGGACACTTCCAGCCCGGAAGAGACATGAGTGGGTGTCAAGGGAAGGACATGGTACCACCTCCTTCGCGGAGACGCAAAGGGCTGGATCGCAGGGTCTGCCGGGGAACCGCCTGGCGCTGCGGCCGGAGCCGCAGCTGAGACCCGATCTGTGAAGGGTCTTATCTTCCCTGCTGGGGAGCTGACGTTTTATTTCGATATTATTCTGATACTGTATTTGAGGTAAGCAGTGAAGATTGGGGTGGAGCAGGATGTTTGTATCACAAAGGATTTAAAACTTGGAATGGTGCAGCTGGGCTTCAACACACGAGCTTCCCACGCATGACACAGCATGTCAGACACCACGTAAGAGGATGTTGAGACAGGTCACACTTAGATCCTGTACCTAAGGAGCTTAAGGTCTAGAAGGGGGGGGAAGCAGGGGCTGGGAGACATTACGCAGCTTTTTGAGCTTCTGGATTTGCATCCTGGTTCTAGCCTGTGGCCCTGGGAGCTCATTAGTCCTTCAGTCCTGGCTTTTCTCCCTGCCGGACGGGGATGGGAATACGTGACGTGCAGTGCGCAGTGGGCGTGTGGGTGCTTCTCTCCTGAGCTGAGCTGGCTGAAGGTCTGTCACTGCTTTGTGCGCCTTTTGGTGGCAGAACTGACACCCACACGCGGCCTTACCAGAGGGTGTGCTTCACACCCACCCCCGCCGGCCCCATCCGAGTTTTGGTTGGGACTCAGGGTATAAGACTGGTCCTGGCAGTGCATGGACATAACACTTCCAACCGGATTGTTGCTCTTTAAAAGTCCCAGAGAAGCAAGTAGCTTCCACGAGAGCAGAACTTTCTAACAGAAATGGGCAGTCTGGAGAGGCAAGGAGCTCCCTTGCCCAGATGGAGGGACACTGGGGCTCTGGACGTGGTGGGCAGAGGGACCACTGGGGGGGTTGGTGGGTTGGAGCTGACGCCCCGTGAGAATCTTTCGGACAAGCCGCATCCCACAGGCACTGCCCTCCCCAGGCTCCCTCCCTGGTGCTCCCACTTCTTAGACCCCGGGTGGCTCTGATGCCTCTGCGTTTGCCCCTGTGTCCCCAGTGCCCCAGGTGCTCAGGACCTGCGCGGAGTTCGTGGAGGAGTACGGAGTGGTGGATGGGATCTACCGCCTCTCAGGGGTCTCCTCCAACATCCAGAGGCTCCGGTGAGTCAGGCGGTTTCGGGAGGGCTGGGAGGCCAGGATGCCAGGGAGCCAGAGGGTGAGGGGAGGCGGGGAGAAGGAAACGC